CAATGACAGCAAGATCGCGCCAATCGAAAACAGTAATGGGACAACTTCAGCATGACGCATAGCAGGGCAATTAAACGTGTATTGTCCGCGGACGCGCCGCCTCGGGCTACGCATCCCCTTTCACTTTTTAACAAAACTTCGCCCCCCTCCCTTCTCCCCCAATCATCAGTATACAGTTGGCTACCACGCGGGCGTCTTCTCCCCGCGGGTCCCTCTATCAAACAGCGCATTCGGCTGGTATGGTACAATCAAAGACGTCGTAAATCCTTGTGGGTCAGGATTGCCCCTTCATGCCGGATATCGCTGTGAACAATGCTGCACGAGGGGTCGCTCCTGCGATGTCCGGCTTCGGAGTGGGTTTTTCTTTTTTGGGCGGTGGTACAGAGTGGAGGAGTTGGATCGTCGGGCCAGGCCCTTCGAGGTGTGCTCGACGGGAACGACCCTGGATGTTGTGGCCGTCACAGCGCTTTAGTCGAGTCCAACGGTGGGCATGTCGGACAGGTTAGGGCCGCTGCCGGTGTAGGAGCCCTGGCCACCGGAGCTGATCTTCAGATCAGAGTCGGAGGCGATCATCTCGGCGAGGATGTCGAGAACGGGCTGTGGTGCGATTAGCGTCTGCAAGCAACCTCGGTTGAAGTCATGGTGAGAGTGGTCTCGCATACCTTGGGGACGGTCTTGTCGTAGATGCTGATCAGGTCGTTGGGGGTAGGGTAGACCTTGAGGCCCTTGTAGAAAGCAAGAGCGGCCTCGACGACGTGGTTGGCTATTGTTTCGCAGCGGTTAGCTTCCGATCATGCTGTTGTCCCCCATCTTTGTAGCTAGACTGGCCCGACGGGGGGAGAGAAGCAAGCAATGGCAAACTCACGATCGGCGGCCAGCGTCTCGCCCTCGGAGACCTGTTGCAGGAAGTAGGCCTCGCGGCCCTCGACATCCTCGGGGAAGCCCTCTTCCTTCGCCTGGACAACGGCCTGGGCGATAGCCTGACGCTGGCGGACGGTCTCGAGCTGGGCCTCCTCCTTCTCGGCGCGGTGCTGCTTGCGCTCGTTGCGGCGAAGGTCACGACGGAAGTTGGCGTTGACGCGGCGCTGGTAGTCAAAGTAGAAGAGGTAGGCTGAAGAGGTGCATGCTGGTTAGCGGACGATGGCCTTGTGCGTAGAATGGAGGATCCCATAGGACAACCAGGCGCATGGTGCTTATGCTGCCAGAGACGACGCAATGCGGACAGCCAAAGGGGTGCTTGATAGTTTCTGATGATGCCTCGGTCGAGCTCTCATCTACTTCCTCAAGCCCTGGCAAGGAGGTTGATAAGAAACTTACCAACAACGCCGGTCGCGGCAGCGGCGACGGATGCCGTCACTATCGTGGATGATTGGACCATGATGAAATGAAGATGGAACGAAGGAGCCTCGAAAGAGAAAAGGCGGCGACAAGAAATCCAAGCGATGGATGATCGGTGGCAGACGTCGGAGCGGGCTCGGTCTAGGAGCTGGTCGTCAAAGAGTTGAGGGTGGTGACGAGATGGGAGAGCGTCGGGGGTTGATAGGTCGAGTGTCGAGAAATGAAGCTGGTCTATCGGCCAGGGACTCGGTAGGGCCCTCGATTGATGGAGCTCTACTACCAATTTTTTTAGTTGGTCTTGAGCCGGGGTCTCACGCGCCAGTGCAGCACCACACCGGCGAGGCCTTGTCCGATGCATGTGTGTTCGGCTAAACATCGCCAAAACCGTGAGCTCTGGCAGAGAAACATCCACGCCGACCCACGGATGCTGGACGCCTGTAACTCAGGCTACTGATCCCTCCCAAGCTGTTCCCCACACAGGCCAAGCCAACACGTCTGAGCTGCCAGAGCTCAGTCAACGTCGACGACCTGAACCGAACCCCGGTCCTGACGAAACACCACCTACCTACCTACATATTCATTCAACCCCAGCTTGATGCGTCTCGTCACTGCCACCACGCTGGAAGTGAATGTGAGCAGTGGCATCTCGACCACAACCGACGAGCTCGCCTCTTTCGCATCACGGCCTCCGGTCCACCACTCACCTATTCGGCCCATCCAATGTCCTCCGAACGCAGTAGGATCTCCTTGAGATCAGGCCCCCGCCGGAAGGGGGGTCGCCCAACCATCAGCGCCCCGCGACAGATCTCTGAACCCATCCCACAGAATGGACCGTCTCCCTTGCGCAATGCGAATGGCCCTGCCAGTGGCCCAGCCCTTCGACCCGTCAATGAGGCACCACCGCCTCCCCAGCAGCGCCAGCGCCCTCCGATTCAGCCTGGCGGAGGTAATGCGGTAGGTCGAATGAACAAGAGAGATCATGCACAGAAAGCTGACGCGTGCTTTGGACGTAGACCTCCGACCTAGTCAAACGACGATACTCAACGCGCTTTGGCAACTTTCCCGAGGCAGGCTTCGACGTCAACAATCCCCCCGTACCCGCCTTACCCACTCTCGACAAGTACGAATCTCGCGAGAAGCGTGGAGGGCCTCCACCATCTAGAGGTGGCGCGGCACCCACGATCGACCTGAAGGCTCTACGAGATCCCAATCTCAACGCCGATCAATGTGGGAAGATGATGACCCATCGTTCGCGACTTGACCACTGACCAAATGCTTCTCAGATGTCGCCGGGCTGCTCAGTGATGCAACCGAGGACCAGATTCAGGAGTACCAGGACTCCCTTCGACAGCTCAAGTCGAGAGCCCAGGCCGATCTCCAACAGAATGTGATGCAAAACCGTACCCAGTTCATTAAGATTGCCCACGAAGCCGACAAGCTGAAGGATGAGATGCGGACGCTCCGAAACCTCATGGCTGAGTTGAAGGCGAACACTACCTCTCTCCGTGCAGCAGCGGGCGGTCGTAACGAATCAACCAGCCTCAATGGCGAGCTGTCAACGGGCCTCAGCAAGAGGGACAAGCGCAGCTCCGTAGCCGACCGCAGCGCCTTGTGGAACTCGCAGATGCAAGCCCTGTACAAGAACGTCGAGGGGACGCAAAAGTTCTTGCCCAACGCCCCCGGTCGCCATGTCATACAGAACGCCGGCCAGTGGATCGAACTCGACAATGCCACCTACAAGTCCCGGCGCGCCACACAGATCTTCTTGCTGAACGACCACCTGCTCATCGCGTCGCGCAAGAAGCGCAAGACCGACGGGCCACCCCGTGAGGGACAAGGCAACATCATCAAGCTGGTTGCAGACCGGTGCTGGCCCCTCTTGGATGTGGAGGTTTTCGACATGGCTGGGTCGAGTGAGTCGTCCAGCACGAGGAGCAAGCTGACGGACGCCATTCGCGTCCGAGGCAACGGCCAGGAGTCTTTTATCTACCGCACGGAGAAACCGGACGATCCCGACAAGCCGTCCCTGCTTCTGAACATTCGCAAGGCCGTGGAGGAGCTCCGCAAGAGCCTGCAGTCTGAGATGGAGGCCAACAATAAGACCAAGGAGACGATCAACTACTTTGCGTCACGCGACCCGGGGCTGTTGCAGAAGGCTGAGCTCCTGGAGACTCTGTCGGATATCAAGGACATGCGCATCGAGGTGGACGGCAATCAACAGAACCTCCGCTGGGTGGAGGGCCAGATGGACGAGCTCGACATTGAGATTGCGCTGCAACACTTTGAGAATGCCGTTGAGAGGGTCGAGAAGCTCAAGAAGCTTGCGAGGGGCTTGAAGAGCAACGCCGTGGCGCAGGACTTTATCAACTTCAAGGTCGAAGAGCGCTGCGTCAAGGTGGCCGATATGCTGCTCCGCGAGCTCGACATGTACCACAACATGGCCACCAAGACGAGGCGCATCGTGTCGTGGCTGACGAGACTCGGCTACGAAGACCGTGCGCGCGAGTCGTACCTCCTGGCGAGGCACAATGTGATCCAGCATCGATCAAGGTCAGTCAAGCTTGCTGTCAGCTGTACCATGACCCATGCTAACCCAGAATGCCAGGCAATGCACGTTCCAGGGCGACCTCCACCAGTACATCTGGGAGATCTCGTTCTGCTACTTTACGCTCATCAAAAACACCGTTACCGTTTACCAGTCTTGCTTCCCACCGCCCATGATGAGCACTTGCGTCAAGTGGGCCAAGGAAGAGGTGGAGGCCTTCAACCTGATTCTTTCTCGCCAGCTCAGCAGCACGGAGCGCGACGGCAAGGTGTGGTCCGAGTGCATGGATCGCGCGCAGAAGCACGCCTCCATGCTGGCCGAAGTTGGTTTGGACTTTAAGACAATGGTCGGCCAGGAGCTGCGTGAGTTTAAGCGGTCAGACAGCCCAGTAGGCCTGGGCTTGGAGTGAGGGATCTGGAGGGCGCATGAGGGGTCTTGGGGGTGCTGTATGAGCGCGAGGCTCGATATTTGTCGATGTCTTTCAACTCTTATAACGATTCTATGCAGCCTCTATTCAATCTAGCCATGTCATCGTCAAATTCAAACACTGTGGATAGGGCAGTCTGCTGGAATGATGTCCTGTACAGCGATGCTGAGTGCGAGGGTTCAGGGGCACATCAGGGGTTGGTGCCAGCCGAGGGCAGCTGGCGCATTTTGGAGCTCCCTCGCGCGACCATCAACGCGTCCCTGACGCCCCATCTTTTCAACCTCACCTCTTAGACGGTTGTTCCAATTCTCATAGCTGTCCAGACTTGACACACAACGTTGAGAAGCTGTGCTATTCTTGCCAGACAGAATATTAGAGGTTTCTACGACGGTTGAGGTAAGCATGTCCCTTGTCAACGATCGCGTCCACGTCGGCCCAGCCTTATAAAGGCTTCCCATGACAATGTGAGCTTGGCATACCCTATGATGAGTTAGCTATGCCAATTTCATCTCGAAGTGAGCAGTGGGCCAAGCTTCAAGTCATCAGCCTCTTGGTCACGCAAGTCAAGCATCATGAGGAGCCGCTCACATCAAGCACAAATGAGAAGCTTCATGACCGCATCACTAATGAGACCTCTAGATCTGATCCCGTTACCACCAGCTCTCTCAGTCCCACCACGTCCTCACCGCCATGCCCTACAACACCACAGCCATCCCTCCCCGCAAGGAGGTCACAGGCCAGCCGGCCCTGCCCCGTATGTGCACCGGCTCTCACGACCGATGAAAGCGGCCAGCCGGCCAGACAGAGCACTAACAAGGCCGCCCCAGTCGCTCGCGTCAAGAAGATCATCGCTCAGGACCCAGACATCAGCATCTGTTCCAGCAACGCCGCGTTCATCATCACAGTCGCCACGGCACGTGCAAGACAGATCCTCGCCGATGTGGCGATTCGACACGGCCAGCTGCTAACAGGGCGCAGGAGATGTTCATCCAGCACCTCGCCAACGAAGCCCACAACCAGGCCAAGCTCGACCGGAAGCCCCGCCGCAACGTGCAGTACAAGGACCTAGGTGAGTCCTCTCTCGCCTCCATTCAGCACATGCATTCCTCGCAGTTATTCGCTACTGTTTCGGTCGCCATAGGTGCCACTAAACTAACAGAAAGAAAAAAAAAAGCCAACGCCGTCGCGCACAATGACAATCTCGAGTTCCTCGAGGACGTCATCCCCAAGACGACAACGTACAAGAAGATCAAGGGCCAGGCCCAGGCGACCCGCGCCCGCGTCGCCGGCGAAAAGGTCGCCGCCGACGAGACGCTGCCCGCGCTGGCGGGCACCAAGAAGTCGCGCGCCGCCGGTGCCGGTACCGGCACCAATGGTGCTGCGGACACGGGGGCGCTCCGGCCGGGTGGTGGTGCCAACGGTGTCAATGGCACCGCGTCGCGCGGCGGCCCAGGTGCGGCCTCTGCTGCTTCCGCTGCGGCCATGGACGACCCCAGTGCGCAGCTGCAGGCCGAGATGCGGCAGGCGGCCGGGGCGGATCACGATGGCGACGTCGACATGACGGGCTAGTGGCCGGTTGGCGCGTCGGTTTTGCGGTACTGGGCGGAAAGGGAGTGATGCGCGCGCTGTGGTGGACAGGGGCGCAGTGTCAGCAGCAGCAGCAGCAGCAGCAGCAGTGGATGTACGGAGTGTACAGTAATGACCTGTAATGATGACAACGAGGTGTTTTGATCATAAACTACCCAGGCCTCCCTCGGGACCTGTTTTTTCCTCTACCGATGCCGTTTTAACGCCGTGTGACAATGTCAAGTGGTAACGAAAAATGAGAAACAAAAAAAAAAGAGCCAAATGTGCCATCGGGGGCATCTGTTCCCCTCCTCCACAGCCCTTTGCATACGTCATGTTCATGTCGAGAATCGACTGCCGTTCTCCAGAGGGTTCAAGCCACAAGAAGAAGGCAGGTTTATTCCTCCATGACATCAGCATCGAGGTGCACGCCGGGGGGTAATGTCCCCTCGTTGAGCATCTTCTCGAGCCGGATGATCTCCTGCAGGCTGTCGGCGCGCTTGATCATCTCCTGCAGACGCTTCTTCTCCTTGTCGGTGAGTTTGATGCGAGACAGGCGCGAGCCCTGCGCCTGGTCGCCGGCAGTAGCGGTGCCGCCCGCAGCGCCCGTGTCGAACGTTTTGGACTTGACGCCCATGATCTGCGCAGTCAGCATGCCGTGTTGGGAAGGCGGAGGGTAGGCGACGCACCTTGGAGGCGAGCGCCGTCGGCTCGTCGGCCGTGCCAAACAGGGCGACGGCCTGCTGGCGCTCGGCGTCCTTGACCTTGACATAGTCGAGGAAACGGACGCCGGGACACCGCCAGAGCACCCAGTAGCGGTAGTTCTGCGACGCGGTCAGCTTTTCCAAGGTCCTCCATTCGCTCGCCCGTCAACATGACGCGTGCGGAAGGGGAGGGGACCACGCACCTCCTTCCTGGTGACAGGGTTCTCGATCAGCACGAGGTGGGTTAGGCGGGCAAACTTGGCGAGGACATCGAGGTCGGCGAGCTCGGCGATCTGGTTCGAGGCGAGCACGAGGTGGCGCAGGTTCGGGATGGCGGTGGGCAGGGCGGGCTGTATGGAGGCGACGCGGTTGCGGGCGAGCAGCAGGGTGGTGATGCGCGGCGACAGGGGGAAGTTGCCGAGGGTCTGGATGTCGTTGTCGGTGAAGTCGATCGAGTCGTGGGGCTGGCTTGTCAGTCTTGTGTTTGTATTGCGGGGACAGCATCTCGGACCCTGCCAGACAGGCGCAGGGGCACAGCAGGAGGAAGGGAAAGAGACTCACGCCGGCAGCGCCCAGGTTCTCAATGGCGGGGATTCGGTGTCCTGTCTCGCACGCGCCCGGCGAAGGGGCCTCGCTATCAATTCTGGCTCTAGATCAAAAGTGTAGCATCTGTTCTTGTCGCAACGCACCTCGGAGATCGAGCTCGCGCTCCTTGAGCGGGTTCAGGTAGGAGAGAGAGTCCCTGATGAGCTCCGCCGTGAGCCGCATCGTGGGCGGTCGGTGGGGTTACCGTGGTGGTGTCGTGTGCCTCGTGGCGAAGGTGATTGAGACTGAAGGCTCTGAGTATGGCTTCTTCCGTCCAAATTGTGTACAAGCCGCTGAGGGAGGGTGGATAGTGGCGGCGACGGTCGTTGGTTGTGGTGCAGGAATCGGCAGGGCTAATAAGCGTGGAGTGCGCTTCTCATGGTCGACAAGGCTGAAGATGCGGTATGCGGAATGTGGTGGGCGCCCAGAGCAAGCACGGAGCGGGCAGCAGCGACCAGACCAGACCAGACCAGGGTCAGTCAGTGAGGTGCAAGTGCCGCGGGGAGGAAATTTTGGTGGTGCGATAAGATAAGAGCTCGACGCTTGTGCTCGCACTGTACACACTGTGGGACGCCACGAGAACAGCTGCAGAGAGAGGGTGCCTCTTCTCATGGATTTGATCTGGTGCTTTTGTTTCTGATAAATGACACTCATGGGCGAGGAGCTCATGCCAAGGAGCAAAGTTCAATCCAACACAAGCTCGAGGCCTTGTCGCTGATCCTGGTACGAATGTTCATGTCGTGATCACCAACTCGCAAGCAAACATCACAGGACAACGGACAAGCATATGTCGATCATCATCACCTGAAAAAGAAAGCCCAGAACCATGTATCGGTATCTATCCATGTTCTACCCTGTCCCAAGCGCCAAACAGCAAAAACGCCCTCTCATGAGAAGATGAACACGACACCAGACCGATCAGTAGACACCGTCATGCAATAGGGCATCTCCAACACGGCCACGTCCGTAACCGAGTCGAGATGCGCCTTGAGGAGCTGCTGCTGCTGGACCGAAACGACCGTGGACCGCGAGCTGCGCCCGCCACCGCCGCCCGCACCGTTCTTCTCACGCCCGGCCCCGGCATTGGGTGCCGTGGGCGCCGCACGCGGGATCCTCTCCGTTTTGACCGTCAGCGCCGCCGTCGGCTGAGACGCCGTGAACACGGGCCTCTGTTCCTCGGCCGTGAGCCCGCTGTAGACGGTCGAGTTCTCGACGCGCGCGAGGTCCCAGAACCGCAACTTCTTGTCCGAGCCCCCCGTCACGATGAATGCGTGCCGCACGTCGCGTGTGTCTTCGCCGACCGCCGTGCCCGCGACCATGGCGCGCACGCCGCCGTCCGCTGTGCCGTGGCTGCCGCCGCCGCCGCCGCTCGGCTCGATGTTGGTCGCATACCGGCCCAGCATGCCCTCGGCCCTGTCCTCGTCGACCTGCCACGGCTCGTAGCCCCTGAGTGCCTCCTTGCTGCTGCCGCCGACCCGGTAGATCTCGCGACATGTTGTGCGCTCGAGGTCCCACACCGTGACTTCGCCCTGGCCCGTACCGCCCGCAACGCAGACCCACTTGCCCCGGCCCTTACTAGGATGCACGCAGACGCGGTGGATGGCGCTCTTGCCCGGCACGCCCCAGCCCTTGAGGCGCATCTTGAAGCGCAGGTCCCACAAGTCTAGGACGCCGTGCGACGTGCCGACGCAGAGCCAGTTACGCTTGCGGTCGATGCAGAAGCACGTCGGTGTGCCGTGATGTACCGGGTTCTCCAGCACATACAGCAGCGACATGGTCCGCAGGTCAATGGCCAGGATTCTCGATCTGTTCGTCGCCAGCATCAAGACTGAGCTGGCGTCCATCTTGAAATGCTCACACCACACGGCATGCTCGCCCTGCGGCAGCTGGTACTCGCGCAGCAGGCGCAGCTTCAGATATCGCAGAACCCCGGCGGCGCCCACTGTCTCAACCTTGACAACGTGGACACTGCCGTCGCTGGCGCAGCTGATGAAGGTATGCGTGTTCTCCACGAAACACAGTGCGAGGACGTGCGCGTCAGGCGCGTGCTTGTGAATCTGCCTCGAGCGGTTGGTAATATTCTTCTCCAGCCTTGCCGTATCCCAGACCCGAACGGTGCCATCGTCTCCGCCGGTAAGGAAGAAGACGTGGTCTGGGGAAGCGATGAGACGGTTGATGGCGCCCGCATGCTCCCCAAAAGTCGCCACAAGCCGTCCGGTAGGTCTCCATGGCTCATCGCCCCCGGGTCCTGTCGTCTTGTTGACAATCTCGCGGCGGCTGACAGGCGTGACGAGTGGTCCGAATTCGACAATGTCATGCGGGAACACATTGACGTACATGGCATCGAGCATCTTCAATATACTGGGGTCGTTCCCCTCGTATGAGTGATTGGCCTTCACATTTCCGCTGAGAGTCGCTGCGCTCGGTTGGCGGTCCCCAACACCGGGGCGGGCGCCGGTATCCTGTGAAAAGGGGCCTTCGACCTCTCCAAACGCATTCGTCTCCGTCATGCTCGTCTCAGGCACGCTCTTATTACTCTCCTTGCGTCCCAGAAGACTCAACGCGCTTGCTTGGTGTCGCATGGCTCTCCGTGACGCATAAGGCTGATCCTTAACGGAAGAATCGTCATCAACTGGGCTGCCGACGGTCAAAAGGCTCCCTTGACCCGTCCCTACCCTCTTCTTTGTGTCAATCGGTCGTGTGCGCGAAACGTCACGAGAGGGAGGCCCTTCAACCACACGTGTCCTCAAGCTGTTCAAGGTAGCCAGGCGTCTCTTACTCGCCGAGTCGTTGATCGTCATGGACGCATCGAGCAGTGCGTCCGCAATAGTGTAGGGCCCTTGCTTGACCGGCTCAGGCGTATCCGGCAGCTGCGGAGGTAGCTCTTGGTCAAAAAAGACCGTCTGACGGGTGATGCCGAGGCTCTGGAGGGATACCACTTCGTTAGTCGTGGTGGGCTCGCCGGGACTCTCAATGCCGGTCTTTGTGCGGCTGAGCCGCCAGATAAAGTCTCGCAACGCTACGAGCTTGAACTCATCTTCGTGGCTCAAGCCAAGGTTCTTCAGCCTCGCCAGCCACTGGTCATCTTCCATCGTCCTCGCTGACTGCCTGAGTGTATTGACGTGCAGGTCCTTGGACGACTTGGTCGCAAGGCTGGTGGGCAACGAGCTAGATACTGAGGGACGCAGCTCCTGCGACGGCGTCCAGAACTTGCTCTTTTTGGTCTTCTGCGCCCAGCTCAAAGCCTGGTCGAACGCAGCTCGGGATAGCGGTCGTTTCAAGGTGTCCAATAGCTCGAGCTCGCCGAATGCCGGTATCCTGTCTGTTTTCAGATACGGCTGAATGAGCGGCAGCACGATACCGATGATGTCGGCCGGCGACAGCGACTTGGACGCCTGCGAGAGGAACTCTGACGCCGACTCGCGAATCCACTGGTTTGGGTGCATTGTAAATCTGCCAATAATATCGATCAGCTCCCACAACCTCGCCCGGGACAAGAGCCCGAGATTAGCCAGCTGCGCCAGGCAGTGGAGAGTGGACTGCACGACAAACTCCTCGGGGTCGGTCAGCGCCTGCACCATGAGGGGCAGCATGAACTCCTCGAGGCTGACGCTGCCGACAAGCGCCGAGATCCCCACTATGGCATCGAAGAAAGCGCACTTCAGTTTCCAGTCCCGATCGTTGAGGTATGTGTTGAGGTGGGTGAGCAGAATGTCGTTGGCCTCAGCCGGGCCGAAGAAGATGCACAGCTCCGGAACCGATGTCAAAAAGGCGCGCCGGACCGAGACATCCGTGTCTTCGATGAGTGTTTTCGTGTGTGCTTCGAACATGGAGAAGAGTTCGCGCTGAGCATCATCGAAGAGATTATCAGCCAATACCTCTGCTTCTTTGCCTGGTTCCACCTCAGGATCAGCCACAGTCAGAGCACCGTTGGCTTTCAAGGTCGCCGCCATCTCAAGGAAGCGCAATGCAGTCGACGCGAGGCCTCCCAGGCACGAGGCATACGTTGCTCGCACGAGTGGGCTCACGGGTGGGGAGGGGCCGAGAAGCGAAGTCTGGAAGCGCGGAAGAATGTACTCGATGAACACATGCGCGTTGACAGGGGAAATGGCTGTCACAAGCTGCAGAAGCTGCGTGATCGACCGAGTCGCCGCGATGACAACAAGGTCCGACTTGTCACCGAGCAACAGCACCAAGTACGGCAGCACCCGGTCCAACTTGGCCAAGTCGGGTATTCGCTCAGCAAAGGCAAGCAGGATATCGCACGCCCGGACCCTGGAAGCCGCGCGAGCCGTATGCCTGATACTCGACACGACAAGAGTCAAGAAGATAAGGGTGCCGTCATTTTTGGGACCATCCGGATTGCCCGTCACGTACTGCTCATGGTTCGGAATGTTGAGTCGAACTGGGAAATGCCCGAGGCCGAGCTTGCTCGCCAGGGGTACGACCTGGGTGTCGCGCTTGCCAGGTTGATAACCGAGGAAATATGAAATCTTATCAAAATCGAGGAAAATGCGGTCTATCCTGTCATCGGCCTCGCCAAGGTTTCTGGACGCGCCAGAGATCGGGCTGTTGCCCGAAGAAGGGTCCGTGACCAGCTCCATGTACTGGTGAAGAAAGTTGTAGAAATACTCTGGAAAGACCTTGCCCTTCCAGAAGTCGAGATATTGCTCCGCTGAGTATCGTCTCTCAGGATCAAGTTGCACCATGCTCGATATCATGTCCCGAACGTCCCTGTCCGGTATGCGGCTTATCTGCGAGATGACCGGGTCATACTCGCCCCTGCGGAACTTGTAGATTTGACTCAGGGTGAAGATGGGCGCTTCGAGGAAGACTTCGGCGATGACGCAACCGGCGCTGAAGACATCCATGGCCCAGGTGAGCTTGGCCTCTTTCGTGCCCACGTCATCCGGCGCAACGAATCTCTCGGGCGCCAAGTAGCAGGTCCGCCGTCCAGAGGAGTCAAAGTAGTACGAGAAATCGCCGGGGTTGTCATCGGGAAGCAATATTGGTTTGATGGGCGAGGAAAAGTCAGTCAGGTACAGCCAGTTCCAAGACGTCACAAGGGTATTCTCGGACTTGATGTCGCCGTGGTAGATGTCCCGTGCGTGGCAGTCACGCAGGGCGCAGAGCAGCTGAAAGGCGAGCCACTTCTTCTCAATGTCTTCGAGGAAGGGTCTCGTGCTCATGCGGTCGTACAGCGAGTTGTAGAGAAACTGACGGACGAGGTAGCCGTTCGTCTCGGTTTCGATGATGCGTTGAAAGGGGAGTGCGTTTGGGACTTCGGCGAGGGCCTTTCGCTGAGCTAGACAAGAAGAGAGAAAGTCAACATGAGGGGGCACATACATAGGTGCGGGCGCCATCGTATCTCTACCTACCGATGAGCTCCTTTTTGTACTGGTCGAGCGACAGGGGTGTGTAGGGTTTGGCCAGGACCTTGACCAACACGACGCCATCGTGGTGTCGTGCGCGGACGCTCTTCATGAAGCGCGCCGTGCCGAGGCTCCGCTCGTACACAAGGTCAGACAGCTCAGGAACATCGATGCTGGCCGAGCCAGCATACGGCGTCGCGAGAGAGAAGCCTTGGCCCATGGTGTCCGTCTGGCGTTGTGCCTATATGGTGCCTGGTGTCGGTGTGGCGGATAGGCCAGTCATCTTGGTAAGGTAGAGGGCAGGTGGTCAGGTCGGAGCTGGGAGCTCTGGGTCTTGGCTGCGAGGAAACACAAAAGCGCTGGTTGATCGTCTATGTCGGGCCTCTGCCCGTGCTGCCTGTTGTCGATTTGCTTTGTCGTCAATGCTGCAGCTTGCTAGCTACCCGCTACTTAAGAGGTACCTGCATAGCGTTGTCGTGGTGGGACTGTGAATGGCTTGGTGGTTGGAGCTCAGTACCTGGGCAAGGTAGGGAGCACGCGTGCGGGGACTGACGTCGGCGGGACAGGTCGTCTAACCCCCGACAGTGTGCATTTGGAGGCTCGTGATTGGCTTAACAGACGCTCCATGCGTTGCTTGTCACGAGCTTCGATCCTTCACAGACCTAGCCTCATACAGACGACCTTGAGTACAATTGTTGCACGTGGGCAAAGAGCACTATTCAACTACATTCGACACGGCCATATTGGTCACGAGCGCAAGTTAAGACAGGTCATTTAAGTAAATTAGGATGGCATGAAGCCAATACCTTATGAAGATGCTTAGAACCTTCAAAAACTCTATCCTCTTCACCTCTGTCTAACCCTGCCAGTCATAACTTCTACAACGACGTGCAGCATCTGGCGTGCCCCTTTTCAACATGAAAACGGACAAGTCAAAATTAAAGCCACAGAGGTGCTCTGCCCGACCTCTTCTCATCCCCCAAAACCACCTCTGACGCGCAGTCCGGGTATAGTGACAGGGCGGTTAATTCGATAGAGAGAAAAGAGCCACGCCAGATTGGTCGCACGATGAGTAGGGACACGGAGAGCTGCCGATCAAGCGCAACAGAAGCGGACCTGTATGTGCAACAAACGTCGGTCGAGAACGACGTGGCCCGCCTTCGCTTGACTGGTCGTGTATGAGCATGGTAAGCTCGCCGCAAACGGAGAATGGTAGTATGAATCGTAAAAGCCTGAACGCCATAGCCAAATGCCACAAAAAACAAGAAACTGCTGTCGTAAAGACGTATCTCAAGCTCATCACAAGTGTGAGTGTGAGTGTCAGGGTATCGGATGGCCACTGGATCCCGTTTCCGTGGAGCCGTCGCCTTCAATCGTTTTGCGCCAATGTTCTGGCAGGCAGACGCATACCAACGGGAACGCCTTGATCTCGCCGCTGACGGGTGGTGATGTGTCGCGCGCGCGGGCTGATGTGCTGGACACACCGCTGTCTCGCTGTGCTTGTCGTCGGGCGTCCCACTCGTCGGCGCGCTCGTCCATCATGACACCTGTCGCCCAGCCATCGTCCCAGATGCCCACCACTTTGAGCATGTCGCCCCGTTCCAGCGAGAACTCATCATTGGCTCGAGGTTGGTAGGCCCACAACACGGCAACCCTATCGCCCGGGTGAATGTCGTCAGACGAGTAGTAGTCTTTGAAGAATGGCAGCTGCTCGGATTGCTGACTCGCCATGCCCTGGGGAGACGACATGCCGCCCGCACTAGTCGGGGACTGCGGGTCTTCGCCTGCCAGGACCGAGCTGCTTGATAAGGAACCGTGTCTCCGGGTGGGGGGCGGGCGCAGAACACCCATTCCGGTGCGGCCATCGGAACCCGGGCTGCTGCCAAAGTCGGAGGATGAATTGTCGTCTCTACCCCGGCCTGCCATGTACCCAGCGCCGGCACCTGCCGCGGCCGCCAGGCCCGTGTGGCGTCCACCGCTCGGCGATGAGTCCGAAGTACCCTCGAGAGCCGACATGCGTGCGATGCGACCGCCGGGCAGAACGTCAAACCCAGGAGCAGCGGCGGGCGCGCCCGTCTTCTCTGCCAAAGGACCTTGTCTTGAGGGCGAGGGCTGGTTGAAGACACTCCCATTATGGCTGTCGTTCCTTCTGCGGCGCCGTCGCAGGCAGACAATACAGAGGAAAATGAGACCTGCAATGAGGATGAGGCCCACAATAGAACCAATAACAATTCCAGCGATTGCACCGCCGGAGAGACCACCGCCGCTTCCATTGTCGTTACCGTCTTCCGATGGTGCCGAGGTACTGCTGGTGCTGGAAGTGGGCGAAGATGTCGGCGGCGTGAACGTCATGGAAGGAACCAGAGAGGGGAGGACAACATCGGCGCATCTGTTGTCGACATCCGAGTTATAACAGCAAGTATCCGTAGAGTTGATGCCACCGGATGCGCAGTAAGAGCAAAGACCGATAGTGCTGTTGCCGTAACCGCAGTTGTTTGGTTCGTTGGCCACGCCTTGCACACAATTGGCAGTCGAAAGAGAGCCAGGCGGGATGTAGCAGTTTGTGAAGTCGGCTCGGATGAGGGAGATCAAATCATTGCTTGGGTTGGGGCAGAGGTTTCGATCAGATGTGATCAGCGCTTCGCTTTGCGCGTAGAACGCCTAGAACTCGTCAGCACAAAGCTTGTTGAACAGAGCCACAGCAATGGGCGCTTACGCAAGTGTCCGCACACAGTGGCGGCGCATCATCGCCCGCCAAGTTGCAGGCCTGAATGGAGTTTTGCACAATGGCATTGCAGATGACCGAGGTTGTGAAACGGGGGTACAGCTCATCGGTGTTTCTCAGGTCGATGTTGCCGCATCCAAAGTTCTGGGCGAATCTGAGCAGGAGGGTTAGTTCTTTTTGCTGTTTTTACGTGACTTTACTCGTCAGACTTACTTCTGCTGCACATAGGTCGTCCGGATGTAGGATCCCATTTGCTGATCGAAGGTCTCTCGACTGGAAACGAAGGGCAGGAAAGGGAAGATGTCTGCCACAAAGCCAGTCGTCGAGACAGAGGCGGACTGGAATGCCGGGCACATCTTGGAGCCTTGGAGTGAGACACATTGGCCGTTGCCTTGCGCAGAAACCACGAGGGGGGCGGATAGCAGAGACAGCAGGATTCCGGTGGTCGTCGGTTTGGACCGAGTGGCGTGGCTCGAACGCGAGCGTCTCGCCGAGGGAGCGGCGCCTCGAGAAACGGCCATGACGATGCGCGTCTTGGAGAGAAGTGTGATTGTTGAATTATAGGAGCTGATGGTCCCAGAAATGTAGAAGGTAGGCGGTAGGCGTGATAGCTGGTAACCAAGAATTTCTCTGAAGACATAGGTTGGTCAATTTGATCGAGCGAAAAGTAGAGAGCGGGTTCGAAATCGAATCTGGTCAACTGCCGTCGTTCCAGTCCTGGCGTGCCAGCGACGGCCTCTAGCCAAGAGCCGGCGCATGGAAGCGTGGCAGCCACGAGCGGCGAGCGGAGGGGGGTGTGGACGGGCAGCGACCATTCAATCTAGCGACACGACTCAAGTGTGGTATGGGAAGGTACGAACCTGGTTTCACAGCAGCAGCACGGGTATGATTAAGATATCCCGACAACGAGACAAAGGCAGTAATAATCCGGAGAAGGAGAGGCGCAGGATAACGGTGGAAAGAGTGTCAGGCGACTTCTGGACGTGATTCAGCTGTTGTGGTTGCCTCTGCCAATTGCAGCGGATCCGAGGAGTCGAGGATACTGCCGCAAGTGTGGAGCTGAACGGCTGAGGAGGCGGACATGCGCTGTCCACTGTCGGGACTAGGTCGAGCAGCCGTCGTCGTGTTGAAATGGGGGAGGGTGGAAAAAGAATAGATCGAGACTGAATGCGGGTGTCGCGCAAAGAATGGCTAACGAGTGTGTGGTGAGGGTTGTACGGCGTATGATTAAGAGTAACAAAGGCGCGGATCTGGTCTAGAAGGAAGGTCGAAGGCAGCGGTGGCCGGGTGATGGAGAACCCTCCGGTCTAGTCGTCGAGGTTGAGTGAGTCGTGAGGCTGGGAGACGGAAGACGGAAGAGACTCGAGGCTAGCGATGGTGCGGGTATCGTTCTCTTTGTTTGTCGTTAGGAGAATTGTCGTTGACAGAGAGGGGCAACCCATGAGAGGATATCTCGCTCGCTCCAACCTCTGGCGCGCGGGATGCCACACGATACACTTGACGAGGTCGACGGAAGGAATGCACGTCGACGACCTGACGAGACGAAACAACAAGACGACACAGCGGCAGCGAGAGAGAAGGGGAATGAATGGGCCGGGTGGGCAAGATCAGAGAGAGAGAGGTACAAGCCAGACAGGAAGGGGAGGAGGTGGTGAACGGACCAACCGAATAGGCAAGGAAGCCCCGGGTCTGATTCAGGTCCAGGAACCAGCGCCAGTCGTGAGGGACAGGGGTCCTGGCCGGGGTGGTGATTGGACGGTATGAGGATACGTCCAGGTGGGGCAGGTGTGTGCAGTGGTCTCGCCCCGACCGCCTCCTTTCAGGGCATGCATCCGCTACAGGATCCCCCCGTCAAATCGGCCCTGGCCTCTGCGTCTTTTACCTTCAATACATGTACATGGTACACACCGTCCTGACAAGCACCACGAACCCTGAATCGAACCCTCTTGGCCTCCGAAGCGAAGCAGCGGGAAGGGGGTAGGAGACGGAGCAAAACGCGATGCGCACACAAAGAGCGGGAGGTTCCAGCCGGCCCGCGACCGCGACAGGGCCATGTCAGGGCACGCCATGGCCAGACACAGCTTCCTGGGATTCTCGTTGACAGAGCTGTCAATCTACAGGAGGTTCCTAGCGAAGGGCTAGGCATGGGAGGCCGAGCGGTACGAGCGGTCGGTGTTCCTGGACACACAAATGTTGCACATTTGCGAGGTAAATGATGTACATGTACTCGACATGAACAAGTGGAAGAAGGCAAGTATAAAATCGCCAGTCTGCGAGACTATCTTCTCCATGGCAAACGAAACACACAATTTCGTCCCGGGGAAACGAACAGTTTCTCGCTGTCTCCCTTGCTTCACTGTATCTCAGGTCAGGTCCGCCAGCTCGCTGCTAGCGGCGTCATTATGATTCGACGAGCAATAGGACCGTCCAGGTTCCGGACAATATACCATGCCCAGGTACTTGTATCTCTTCGAGGCGCTGGCGAGACGACTCTTGTTTCTATCGGAGCGGGCATCATTAACGCGACCTGCTTGTGTTTGTGCCTGTCGAGATGACAGGCCTCTACGATCTCAGGTGTTCCTACAAGCTCGACACCAGTCCATGGTGCACCACTTGATGAGAGGTACAGGTTGAGTCCTTCAGCAAAGAATTCTTCTTCTGCATCAACTTTATTGTCATGATTGCACGACAGGCCCAGTTTGGCTCCCGGACCTCGTCCGTGCTACCTATAACGGTCGCGATGCACAAGGCTGTGCACCCGTTGTCCACACGGAAATCTCGTCTGATGTTCGCTCCCACGCTGCCGCCAGGGTCGTTTATATGTATGTAGATTCTCAGTGGTATCAGGTTACACACCACCAGGACATCCTCCATTCCAGCAGGACGTTCGCGGAAAGCTTCAGATGGGTGTAATACAACGACGCCCTCTGGCCTTCTCTCGGGCCGCTTCAACGCCTCGAGAGACGGTTGAATCAGCAATGGAGGTCGGCAAGGTCGAGTGATAAACAACGACCTGACGGAGGCGCGCGTTGACAAGGACCAGGTCTGGGTTCCAGGATGATCATACACGGCCACTAACGAAGAGGGACTAGCCTGGAAGAAGAAACCCCCCGGCCAGCCAAGGCCACGTTTAAGATTTGTCTTGGGTTGGCCTGCGGTTATTGGCTGAAGAGGGCTGCCAAACTGTCCGGGGCTTGGGCAGAGCGAAATGACGATGCGTGTACCGTGGTATCGCTTCGTCGTGTCGCTGGTTCGCCGCCAGCCTGTCAGCCGTGAGCGCTGTTGGGTCGAACAGACGATGAGAGCCAATCTCCGCCAAGCCGCCCAACTGCCGTCGTGTTTGTTGAAAATGACGCGCTCGACGTGCGTTTCTTCGCGCCAAGGACGAAAGCCTTCAAGTCATCGGCTGTTTTGTTTTTCCGAGCACGAAACGCGGCACGTCCTGACCAAGATAATAGTACATCGTAGTACCCTACGCAGGAAAGTTACTGTGGCACACGGTGATATTGGGTCAAGTAAGGGACACGAACTGGGACGCTCGGCATTACTTTGCCCCTGAGTGATGAGCATCACATTCAAGACTCGGCAATGGCCCCATGTCTCCCATCTCGAACCCTTCCCTCGACTATCTGAGACCTAGGCAACCTATGCGACGCGCCGTCGACGGTGTCTTTGCCTGGCCTGATGCGAACCCCCCTTTCTAGGCCTACGTTGCGAGGCCCCGAGCTGGCACTTCGAAACAAGTGATCGCTGTAGAATTGGACCATAACAGCCAATGCTATCGCCGTGGTCCCTGAACCACATCACACGTTGCTCGTTCTGCGATTCGACGGGCAAGACGCAGGGCATCTTGGAATGCAATACGGGCTTCACGCGAACTCTCCTCAAATCGTTACATCGCGAGGTGGAGAGCCCTACCAACGGCATGGCATGTATGGCAGTGTGACGTATATGTCGCCTTCATTCCTGGGAGCGAGCGACAGAACCACGGGCTTGGGTCGTGTTACCGCATGGCCTGCTCGTGGAGGTCGCAAGGTGCCATTGGGCGGCTTGACAACCGGCGCTGCGTTCCCACGCCTTTCAGTCAGCCCTCGGGGTCGAGGTTTGGTCGCGTAGCCTGCCCACCACCTGGCCGCATGACTGACCAAAATGCAGCATGACAGAGGGAACAGCGCCCGGCAACCCTCACATCAACAAGATGGCCACCGTTCGTTTGCTGCGACCACGTCTTTTGGGGGGGCTCACAGCTAGCAGATGACAATTGTTGGTAGGTGGACAACGCGTTTGCGTCACCAGTCACATCCCTGGCACCAAGCAATCGAGCCTTCAGAGTATCTCTCTTTATGAGCCATGAGCGAGCTGAACTCCACGGCGACCACGAAGGCCGGCGTTTGGGGAGCTGGCACGTGGAGCATTATTCAGCCTGCGCTCGCTTTCGGGCTCTGGCGCGTAGATCGAACCCGTGCAAAGGCGAGAGAGCAGTGCTGGAGGCCGAGCTTGGTCGCCCGATTGAGCGTCAGCACGGCCAACCGGCGCTTACATTGTCCGTGGTCGCGCTGGTTCACAGCAAACACGGTGCAACCGACGCTGCTCATAACCACCGACCTCCGACATCACGACCAGTGACCCACCACTTCGTCCACCTTGGGATGAGCCTGGATGCCCGATGCACGCAGCGCCCACTCCTTGAGTGGCCTGCTGTCGCATGGGCTGCGTGGAACTGTGTGGCACGTTCTTGTCATGTCACGGCAAGGCGTGGCCAACGGGCCTGGCAAACACCCTCTGGACTTAACAAATCCCGACCCCCGGCAAAATGCGGAGGTCAGTGAAGGGGTTTCTTGATGAAGAGCTCTGGGTATATAGCCTGTTACCGTCGTCTTCCCCTGACGACGAGCTTGTCTGGACATACTGTATATCAGCCGCGATCCCAAGTCATTCATCATCATCATCCTGGTTGCAGCCTCAATATCACCAACATCCTTTCCGTCTTCGGTGTGTCTTCTAGAACACTTCCTGCGCAGATCGGGGGCCCCTTGCCTGCATCCTGTACACACAGAAGGCGCAGCGGGTTACAGTTCCGATACACCATCACGATTATTGGTGCCGATACTTGCATTCTCTTGGCACCTATCAGCCCTGTACTTATCCATCTTCGGGCTTCGATACCATGTCTGATCAGGTGCGTCTAATCCACAACGCCCAGGGCGTTGACGCCCGCGACGTCTTACGTCGTCGTCCCTGGCTTGACTAACATCATCTAGCCTCGCCCTCCATATCTCTCGCCGTTTCCCGTGGCGGGTCTCATCCCCAATACGTCCACTGACGTGCCCGTGTCCGCCGTCCTCCTCGTCTTATACCTTGCCAGCGTACTATCCAACATCCTCATCCTACGCCAAAATAAAGACCGGGGCCGCCCCTTTCCCTTCCAGGTACTCCTCATCATCTACAGCGTCTTCCGCATCGTGGCTCTCACGCTCCGCATCTCCTACGCTGCCGGGCCGGACAACACCAACCTCGCCATCGCCGCCAACATCATCTCCAATGCCGGCGTCATCGTCATTTTTGTCCTCAACCTCCTGGTCTCGCCCCGCCTCATGCGCCGTTTCTTCGGTGCCCGTGGTGCAACAGGCTGGCGTCGCAAGATTTCCACCATCCCCTTCTTCGCCGCCATCCCCTTCCTCCCCATCATGCTGCTGACGGTCGTCAACGTCACGATTCTCACCTACTTCACCAACGACCCCAAGGTGCGCCTAGACTGCCTTACCGCCCAAAAGGTCGCCTCTGTAACCTTCGTCGTCATCGCTTTCCTGCCCGCCCCCTTTGCCGCCGCCGTCGCCATCCTGTCACCCCCCATGAAGAAACAGCACCACCAGGAGCAGGCCGAGAAGGAGGCGACCGGCAGCTCTGCCGCCCGCCGTAGCTTCGCCTCCCGCGTCATCCACCCCGACGACCGAAGCACCGGCACCATCCGCGGCTCTGCTTTGCTCATGGTCTTTGGCTCCGCCGTCCTGACCGTCGGCGCCGCCTACCGCACCACCTCCATCCTCAGCCCCCGTCGCATGCCCGGCGATCCGGCCTGGTACCACGAGCGCCCGGCCTACTATTGCTTCAACTACATGCTCGAGCTCATTGTCGTGGCCGCCTACCTCATCTTCCGCTTCGACCAGCGCTTCCGCGAGATCACGGAAGAGGAACAGGAGGCGCAGGGCACCCTCGTCGCGCCCAGCTACTCGGACCGGAAAGATAGCGAGGAGGCCGTCGCGTCCAGGGCTGATGGCGAGCAGGATGGGCCTTCGGCGGCGGCTGCTGCTTCCAAAGACGGCGAGATTGTCTGAGGCGGAAATGTCGGCAGGATTGCAGCACGGGAAGGCGTTTGGCTGTTTTGATACCACTCCACACTAGACCATAGAGAGCTCCAGCGGGCAGGGCTGCCACGATTAAGTTTTGTTCTGTTCAATACCAATGAATATATCGAAAGGCAATCCCATGCATAGTTTGCTGTCGCAAGTCATGACGAGCAAGTACTCGCAGGTGGTCGATGAAAGAAGAATGGCACACTAAGTGATGGCACAGATTGTAGGCGGAGGAATGATGCCAAGTTGCAGACCTTTGAGGGCTCTGCCTACCTGTAGATTGCAGCGAGGAGGAGACAGAACTCGTCATCTTTTTTTAAACTGACGTGATCCCAACCGATGATACAGGTTTTACATGAGTGAATAGGCCGCACCTAACATGAGACTTGTCAATATTGGCAAGTCAGGCGAATGGTCGGCTACGGGTCAGCCGACAATGCAAGTGGATGAACACAGAGCAGAGCAGAGCAGAGCAGCCATCTCTCGTCACAATCAATCCGACGTAATATGTAACATGACTTCTCATTAGGCATCAGCATCTTCACCTGGCGCTGCTTGTCTATGACCCGTAGAGTATCTAGAAGTGCCGCCAGCGATCATTATACGAGGGTTGCCCTTACGGTGAAACATCTACTGGCTTGCGCGAACCGCACGCAGACAAAACGCTAGTGACGCTCCCAGCATAATTGGGACAGCAAATACAAGGCTCTTTTTGGGTCGGTTGGAAACAAGTGCTGGCCCTTGGATTGATCCTATCATACTAGGGTGGCCGCGTACTGGCGCACGTGGCCCATGGTCCAGCGCGTCATCATAGCCTGCACCTTTCCGTGGAGAACATGCAGAATGCTCACGAAACGACGGTATTTGGGTATACATGGGATTTGATCAAAGGAAGTAATCAGGCGTGCGTCTAGACACCATGGGCTCCCCAGCACGAGGGCATGGGTCGAATTGCAGGCTGTTGAATGTCAGTTGCGGGAGATCAGGTATTGCTTGCGCGGGCGCGAGACGGGTGGGATTACTCACAAGGTGTATTTGAGGTGCTCATCGATTTCCATAATCGCCGCCTGATTACCGCAACGGTAGCAGTAGTTGGGTGCTGCAAAAATTAGACATTGCTTTCGAATTGGTATTGATGGAGCTAAGGGCAGACTCACCAGAGAAAATGGTGACAACATTCCGGTCTTGCGACCAATTATAGCCCTCCATAACAAGCTGATGCGCACGTGCGATGAGCGTCAGGCCGTTGTTGTGGTTGAAAGCTTCGGAAATGTCCTGGCCGAATGTGTAGCCCGCACCACGGGGAGAGATTCCCCATCCGCAGCGGTCATCGGGGTCAGACCACAGGAGGTCGCACATGGGCCCCTCGTGGGGAACCTCCTGAATCCTGTCAAGGGCTCTGATGTTATCGAGAGTATCAATACTCGGGGAGAGACCGCCGTGAAGGCAGAAGATCTGGTTGTCGATGAGGGCAGTGAGGGGAAGGTAGTCGAAGAGGTCGGTGAAGAACTTCCACACGTTGGCATTGCCATACTTTCGGAGGCACTCGTCGTAAAAGCCGTAGACCTGGGTGATCTGACGCGACTCGTGGTTGCCGCGGAGAATGGTGATGCGTTGCGGGTAGCGGATCTTGAGCGCGACGAGAAGAGTCACGGTCTCGACGGAGTAGTAGCCTCGATCGACATAGTCGCCTGTCCATCAATCAGCAAGGGCGCAAGTAAATAGGAAGCGTCTTGGGCGCACCCATGAAGAGGTAGTTGGTGTCAGGGTTAGGGCCGCCAATCTTGAAGAGTTCCATCAAGTCGTGAAATTGGCCGTGGATATCACCACAGACTGTGACGGGGCATTTCTATGATGCGGGGTCAGCAAGCTGGCGACCGGGCTGAAGCGGTGGCGATACGTACGACTGGTTGAACATTGGACTCCTCCTGTAGGACTTCGCGTGCCTGTAGGTTGTTCATGGTCAGATCAATCATTCTGAAGGGTCACGCGAGTCCTTGCGATAAGATCACGATGTTTGTGTGTTCAGGTCTCAACGAGTGGCGCAGCTAACCTTTTCGCAGAGCCTCTGGACATCCGTCTCGGCCAGCTGCTTGCAGCTCATCAGGCTCTCGATCCATCCATCGAGAGTAGGTATGGTGGTTGGCTCCAGGTTCGCGAGGACGGGGGAGACTTCGGCTGGGCGCCCAGCGTCTTCCATGTTGGTGTCCATGTTTCTTGAGGTCAATAGCTCGAGACGATTGGGGGAAAGTGCGGTGAGATGGAGCAACCGGGCGTGTGCGTGTTCGTAAGCGTGATCGTCGTCAAGGACAGGGTCGTGGAGGTCGTCAGCAAAGGAGATGGGAATGTGTTGCTTGGTCAGGGAGCTGATCGCGAGGTCGGAGGGAGAGGGACGGCTTGGGGAGGTGGTGTGTAGCACCGGGACGGATCAGGGTGTGAAGACGTGGGGCAATAGCCTCGTTGAGCGGCGCCCGAGCTTTCCCCGTTGATGCTTTTGATCGGAAATGCCGATGGTGGATGGATGCGATGCGCGACCAAAAGCGTCTTCGTCGTTGTCGTCGTAGCCTGGTTGGTTGCGAGGTCGGAATCTGGGTGAGGTGGTGGACGTTGGGTTGTTGTTGATGGAGGTAATTGGCAGGAGAAAGGATGACGAGACGGTGCGATGCAGTGCGTGTGCAGGTCCCATTTCCATCAACCCAGTGTTGCTTGCTGTGAGAGATGAAGGGATGGGGCCAGGGGCGGTGGGGTTACTGAGGTACCAGCACGTGCACCATAGTTCCACCACATTGCAAAGTCTCTCATTACCAGCGTAGCTCTGTCCTGGGAGTGAACGCAATCCCCCCCCCCCGGAACCCCTTGGGTACCTGCTTTACCTCACCAGGTGGTAGGTGCATCGGCGGTACGTCAAGGTCCCTTGGCCAAAGAACAGCTCGCTGCCTCGATCGAGCTCGAGCTTCAACGATTGCCAATACCCCCCCCCACGACCAAACCCCCAGAGAATCGACCCCGAGTTGCAGAAGCAGCCCTTACCGACGTCATTCAAGCGTCAACACTGATTCGAGCGTCTCGCGAACATGATCGTGCCCTCAACACCATGACGTCGCACACCACTTCCTTCACGCAGACCCCAAACCTCAGTAGTCGCCGGCCGTCCATCAGCTCGAGGTTATCGTTCGCGATCTCCACTGCCGAAGAGGGCGGGGGCACGAGACGTAGATTGCCGGCACAACAGCAGATTGAAGAAGAGATCGCTGAGATTAAGAGATATGAGGACTTTACAACAATAGACTGGGTTCAAGATGCCGCGCGGGAACAAGCGCGCAGGAAGTCCCGGCGTCGTCGCCGGGCTGGCCTTGTCGACAACGGCATGCCCGGATGGAGGTATCGCTTGTGGGAGTCATACGACGCTGCACAAGGCTGGCTTGTTGTCACCCTGATAGGCATAGCCATTGGTCTCAACGCTGCGTTTTTGAACATCATCACTGAGTGGCTGTCCGACATCAAGATGGGCTACTGTACGACCGCTTTCTACCTCAACGAGAACTTTTGCTGCTGGGGCGAGGACAATGGCTGCGACGCATGGCATCGATGGACTGGCTTTGGGCCCGCAAACTACTTTCTCTACATCGTCTTCGCGACGATATTCGCATGCACGTCGGCGACCCTTGTCAAGTCATTCGCCCCATACGCCGCAGGTTCTGGCATCTCCGAAATCAAATGCATCATTGCCGGCTTTGTAATGAAGGGCTTCCTGGGATTCTGGACCCTGGTCATCAAGTCTGTCTGCTTGCCACTAGCCATCGCATCGGGCCTCTCCGTAGGAAAGGAGGGTCCCAGTGTTCACTATGCCGTCTGCACGGGCAATGTCATTTCGAGATTATTCGCAAAGTACCGGAACAACGCCTCGAAGACGCGGGAGATTCTGAGTGCCTGCGCCGCGGCTGGCGTTGCTGTCGCCTTCGGAAGTCCCATTGGCGGGGTTTTGTTCTCCCTTGAGGAGATGTCCAGCTATTTCCCGTTAAAGACCCTTTGGCGAAGCTACTTCTGCGCCCTGGTTGCTGTTGCTGTCTTGGCAGCCATGAACCCCTTCCGAACCGGCCAACTGGTCATGTTCCAGGTCAGCTATGACCGCGACTGGCACTTCTTTGAAACGTTCTTCTACATTGTCTTGGGTATCTTCGGTGGCCTCTATGGTGCCTTCGTCATGAAGTGGAATTTGCGGTACCAGGCATTCAGAAAGAAGTATTTGTCCAAGTATCCCGTACTCGAGGCAACTCTCCTCGCCTTTGCGACGGGCATCATCTGCTACCCCAATGTCTTCTTACGGATTGACATGACAGAGAGCATGGAGATCCTGTTCCTCGAGTGCGAGGGCGGCGAAGATTATCACGGCCTCTGTGAGAAGGAAAAGCAATGGTGGAACGTCTTCTCGCTCTCTATAGCGACTGTCCTGAGAGTATTCTTGGTCATTATCTCCTATGGCTGCAAAGTCCCGGCAGGCATATTCGTACCATCCATGGCCATTGGCGCTTCATTTGGGCGGACCGTGGGCATTCTGGTTGAAATGTTGTACCAGGCGAATCCGCAGAGCGTATTCTTTGCCGCTTGCAAGCCCGACGAGCCTTGTATTACTCCTGGAACCTACGCCTTCCTCGGATCAGCTGCCGCCCTGAGTGGCATCATGCACATCACGGTCTCCGTGGTCGTCATCATGTTTGAACTCACCGGAGCCCTGACCTACATCCTGCCGACCATGATTGTGGTTGGTGTCACGAAAGCAGTTAGCGACCTTTTCGGCCACGGCGGAATCGCTGATCGCATGATTTGGTTCAGCGGATTCCCTTTTCTCGACAACAAGGAAGAGCACAATTTCGGCGTCCCTGTATCTGAGGTTATGGGTGACTCCGTCGTCTTCTTACCCGCCGAGGGCATGGTAATCGAAGAGATTGAACAACTAATGGAAGAACACAAGTATCAAGGATTTCCCATTGTGGAAGATGCCAGGACCAAAATCTTGGCTGGCTATATCGGTCGTACCGAGTTGCAATATGCCCTTGAACGGATCAGACGAGAAAGGACCATCTTGCCTCGGACCAAGTGCATTTTCATGCAGCCATCATCGCATGGCTCACCGAACCCGAACGCGCCCTCTGCATCGGCCAACGCCGACTCCACACCACCCAGCACCGTCGATTTCAGTCGCTACATTGACAGCACCCCCGTCACGGTCCACCCCCGACTCCAGCTCGAGACGGTGATGGAGTTGTTCCGCAAGATCGGACCCCGTGTCATTCTCATCGAGTACCATGGCAAGCTCGCTGGCCTCGTGACGGTCAAAGACTGTCTCAAGTACCAATTCAAGGTCGAGGCGGCCGAAAATCCGCGCGTCGACCATCACCTTGTGGAGGGTCAGGAGAGACTTTGGACCTTTATACGCAGAGCCGCGGGGTGGGTGTCCGGCAAGGTATCAAGCGCTTCTGGTGGCAGGATTCGTCTGAATTCTGTTGATGAGCCACGGAGATTTGGCGGGCCCAGCAGCAGTCGGCAGGGCACCCAGATCATGGACGGCGATGAGGATGATATCCACGATGGAGGCGTGGAGCTTGAGCACCGCTGATTGTGTACGATTTCACGCTTTGAAAGTTATTAGATCTGCTATTTAGGTACATTGGTTTGGGCGGCGCATCGGAATTTGTTCTACGTGCGGTACTTTATTCAAAGACATACGCCAACAGTGGCATTGGGTTGTATTCGTCACCAGTGTTCTATCAGTCTTACAATTTTAACTGTCAACACACAGCCTGCCTTCTTTCCGATTCCGTGTCATAAGTCATCTTGTCTGTTCAGGTGCAACCAGCTGCAGCTCGGCCATGATGTAGCGTAACCTAGAGCAGGTGTATGGAAACTCCTTCCACATATGGAAACACCATAAGCAGTCACATGATGTAATCTACCTCCGACCCTGCCCATTGCTTCCCTCAGTGCTCAGATCACCCAAATCGATGATATCTTCGTCGTCGTTGTACCCGTTGATCTTGGGGCCACGCTCGTCAACCGGGCTGTCCGGTACAAGTGCAGGCTGCTGCGGTACCGCCGCGTACCCGCCATCGGTGGCCTCCTCGCCGGCAGAGTCATCCTTGCGGCCGACAATCACGTTGCCAGCCACGAGGAGAAAGGCGCCAAACCACCACATGGGCGGCAGGGACTCGGAGAAGATGACGAGGCCGAGAAGGGCCGTAAGGACGAAGTTGGACGACGTGTTGATGATGGACACGCGCGTCGTGGAGCTGCCTTTTGCGAGGGCCTTGGTAAACAGAGTCCACATGATGCCGTTGAAGAGAAGGTTGAGGCCGAAAAAGACCTGAAAGGAGGGAGGGTTGTTAGATTGATGAGCTGCGGCGGGAGCCTAGATAGGGCTTACGGCTCGGAGCACAACTTCAAAGGCGCCTTCAACGCTGGTCAGGTGAAGCATCTTAGAAAGGCTGCTTGCGATGGTCGTTGTGAGTTGCGTAGTCGTCCTGGTAGCGTGAGTGGGTGAGGTCCTACGTAAGAATGGGTTGGGCTGAGGCAACTCACAGCTTAGCGAAGACGCCGTTGAAGGCAGCGCAGGCGCCGCTCGCAATTGCGAGAACGACCCATTTGTTTTGCTCAGCCCAGCTCATCGTGAATATAGGGCTTTGGACCCCAGTCTGAGGTTGAATTGAGTTAATCGAAGCCCTAGGTCTTTGTTCTTGTTGACTTGGCTTCGGCTGTCTCTGGCGCAGCATCGGGCGTCGGGCTGATGATGCTTCGATGGAGTGGAAAAATCGAAGATGATCTTAGCGACTGCGGACGGCGGCCAGACGTTCAAGACGATTCCGGCAGATTCTTAAATTAGAAAGCAAGCAATGTCGGCAACAAATGAGAGCGGCGTACAAAGTATCAGTAGCTCAATCTTTGATCTCGATCACTGGCGAGCTTCGTCGTGAGATGTTGTTGACAGACCACCGAGTGAACCGGCGGCTATCCAGAGGTGGCATTGGACGGGATAGCCGACATAGATTTGCCGCACTTCAATGGCATTTGCCACACACAGCGCCACCAGCGCCTTATCATAAGCGCACGTCGATCATCTGAGCTGCTGCAAGCTGCGGGGGGATTTCTGGGGAAGGTCCATTCCGAAGACGGCCAAAAGTGTCCACCAGCATCGCATCACAGGCGGAACCTCGAATA